ACATGGTCTTCTACCTCTCTGAGCACTTAGAAAACTCTGAGAAGTTCATGGAAGCGTTTGAGTGCTTCTTCTTGTGCTGCTTTTGGTTTCTTAGAATCTCCTTTGTCCATGTTTACTTGTTTTCCTTAGTGAGGTAGAGTCGCCCAGTGCCCTGACACTGTCTGTATGGAGCTCAGTGTACTGCAGTGACCCATTTATTCTTGAATATTGAATATATACCTGGTTTCCCCACTGTGCAACAGAGAACAATAATTGTGGGTACCTTTAATTTTTTTTTCTGTGGGAATTTTTCTGTGGTAGTTCATCTTAGTTCAACAAATATTTGCTGGTTTAAATGTTATAGTAGCCATTAGCAGCATTCAGAAATACAAAAGAGACATTCCTTCCCCTGAGAATATGTCTATTTTAATGGAAGAGATGGACACATGAACAGCTGCTTACATTCTAAGATGAAAATTAATAGTGCAAGGAGCAGATTTTGAAATGCCTAGTTGATAAAATTGGTAGTAATTGCTGATTGAACACTGATCATAGGATGATTTCCAGTGGGTAGTGAGGATGGAATACTGTTAATTTTCATCTGAAATACAGAATTAAAATTATAGTGGTAAAGTGAGTGAGAGGAAATCTGTTTTGTTTTCAGTATGTTTACTACAACTCTGAGACACGCAGGCAGAGGCAGTATGGGGCAGGAAAAGCATTGCATCTTTAGAATCATAACACAGGTGGGCAGGCCACACGTGGTCGTAACTGTGCTCTTACTACCCTCTACCAACTGTATGGGGCTAATAATATGGTAGGATCTACTGCATAGAAATTGTAAGAATGAAGTGAAATGGTGTATGCTAAACACTAACTTTAACTGAGCACACAGTAAAATTTCAGTAGTACATTAGAAATCTCTGTTACATACTGTGTAGCAGACAGTATGAATGCAGGAGAGATCAGAGCCCATACTTTTGGGAGTCATGAACAAATAGGTTAAATAAAAGACAGATAAGATTTCTGTAAAGTGGGGTTCCCCACTTTCCAGGCCATAGACTGGTACTGGCCTTCTTAGGGACCAGATCTAACAGTAGGATGTGAGTGGCAGGTAAGCAGATGAAGCTCATTTGTATTTATAGCTGTTCTCTATCATATCACTCCCTGAGCTCTGCCTCAGGTCAATGCAGTGGCCTCCCAGGAATATGCTTTCTACTGTGAGCTGTGCCTACAAAGGATCTAGGTCGCATACTCCCCATCAGGGTCTAACTCTAGTGATCTGATGTGCAGTAAGGCAGTAGTACATCTCAGAGTGGCTGCAAGGGTAGGTTAACATTAGCAAAGGTCTGACTGCAGAGAGATCGCAACAAATCAGTTGTTTGCGGACTCATACCACAACACTATCAGGGAGTGGCAAATGACTAGCTCCCTCTAGAGTCAGAATTTTTAATGACAAGTGAGTTTTACTCCATTGAACAGCTACATGTGGTGACAAGCTTTAAATTGCCATTTATCTTAATCTGTGTATAACTTGCCTATTTTACTTACCACTTGTGTCCATACCACTTCTTCACTGTATACTTGTTTTGCTTAGTTTTGATAAACCCAAGCTTACTCTGTCTAGAACGAGTGAAAAACAAACATCATTGGGCTGGTTATATAGCTCAGTGCACAGAGCTTCCTGGCAAGCGTGAGGTTATAAGTTCAGTTCCGGTACCAAGCAGATGTGACTTCTTTAGGTTTTTTGAAAAGGAGAAAAGAACCAGTGGTGAGATAGCAGAAGACTTGAAGACTGCCAGCAGAAGAAAGCTGCCTTTACAAGAAAAGAAAATACTAAGAGTCTTACTTGGATTACAGATTTGTTGCAACAGATGAGTCACATTTTCCAAGCCCACTCTGTATATAACATGTGGTGAGCAGATAGCCACAGAAGGTACAAAACCTCAAACTTGCTTTGCTGTATGAAGACCAAGCACTGTGCATTAAAAGACAAAGTCTTTGAATTTTTCCTAAAGAAAAAACACGTGAACATGAAGAACAGAAGCAATTATTGAATGCCACTACTTCATCAGTACTGTTACTACTAAACATAATTCTTAGTGACTACTATGTTGCTGTAGCTAAGAAGCCCTTTACTGGTAAAGACTTGAACTTGCCTACTGCTAAGGTTATTGTGAACTTTTAGAAGAGCTGCAGTTCAAACTGTGGCATGTTTTTTTGTTTTTGTTTTTGTTTTTGTTTTTTTACAGAACCAGGGATTGAACGCAAGCCCTTGCGCTTGCCAGGGAAATGCTTATTTTACCGAGCTATCTCCCCAGCCCCTTGCATGTGTTCTTTTGGCAAGCCCCATACTTACATGAATTAATGAAATAGCAGAGGATATTGAGGCACAGTTGTTAGAAAGGATTAATGAGTCATTGTGGCCCAAAATCCAAGTTGATGAGTCTATGGACATTGACAAGGCAACAATGTTTATTTTCATGTGATATATTTTATAGGTGGATGGCATGGAGAATGTATTATGTACTTTGGAATTTTTTTAAAAAAATTATTTATTTGGTACAAGTACAGGGTGTCACGCAGCTTGAACTTGTAGTGATTCTCCTTTTTTTAGCCTTCCTCGCACAGGGAGTACAGTTGTGCGCCACCACACCCATTTTTGGTGGCTGACATGCATGTCTGGGGTTCCTGGGACCAGCATGGCATGCGGTACTGAGGATTGGCCCCGGTCCTCACCATTGCCAGGCAGGTACTTTGACTGCTGAGCTGTCTCCTCAGCCCTGTGTGCACCTTTGTTGCCAGCCAGCACCACAACTACAGATCTGTTTAAGTATTTGAATGATTACATATTAGGGAAACTGAAATGGGTGTTTTCTGCTGTTCTGTGTGTGACTGGATGACTTTATGTTTTCCCTGTTCTGGTCCAAGGGTCACTTCTGGATACGAGTTTATGCACTGTGTTGTCCATAAAGAAAACTGACTGGTTAAAAAAAAACAAAAAAAAAACAAAACAGCTTACCTGAACTTAACATTTTGCAAAATGTGATTAAAATTATCTGCCACATTGAAGAATGTTCATTTAACACGCATCTGTTGGCACAGCTTTGTGAGGAGGTGGGTGCAGAGCACACAAGTCTTGTCTTAAGAAATAAGGTGGCTTTCTAAAGGTAGCTCACTGGCCAGAGTTTTTGAGTTACAGGAGCCACTCCAGAGATTTCTTTAGCAAAACAGTCACCACTTGTGGCACATTTCAGTGACACAATACGTCACAGAACTTGGTTAATCATGTGATGTGTTCAGCCTGCTCTGCAAACTCAATCTGTCAGTTCAGGTCAGACAAGTGTGTTCAGGTGTGACCACAAAAGTGGCTACATTGAAGGCCAAATTAGAATTGCGCAAGGAATAAGGAATGAACATTGGGATTTTTGACGTATTTCACACTTTAGCGGAGCTTTTGAAATAGCTGGCCCAGTGCCTTCTTTCTCGCAGCTGGTGCCTGATAACCTATCTCAGCTTTCAAAAGAGCTTGAGCATTACTTCCAGACAATACCGGGAAGGAGTAGATCTGAGATCTGTTTGTAAATAAACCAGGTGCATGAACTTTGAACATACTAGATTTGATAGCACAGGTGATGATGGCCTTGATGATTTTGAGACGATGTCTCATCTCCATATCTTCTAGAGTAATATGTTCCCATTGGCTTGAGCCACTAGCGGGAGGTACATGCATGATTGTCTCTGGGCCCTTTATACCACCTAATGGGCCTGTCCCATGCTGCCTGGTGGGATAGTCATGCATCTACTATCAGAGCTGTCTGCCCTGTAACGAACATATTAAAGTCCATTCCTTAGACTGCAAAAAAAGCACTGAAAGGGTTCCTTCCATTTCCAACGTTCTGTTTTTCTGAAATAGGTTTTCTGCAGTGATAGCAGCCAAAATGACGTTATGGAGTAGATTGACAGAAGCAGCACAATAGGGGCTCAGAACATAGCTCAGTGGCATATGCACCTGCCTGGTAAGCGCAGGGTCCTGAGTTTGATCCCTGGTACCACAAAAAAAGAACAAACAAGCAAAAAATCAGCAGCACATTCCTTTAGAGTATCACTGTCTCCCATCACCCCAGATGGCACTGTCTAGCTACAGGAAAATAATTTACTTTTTCTCTGACTTCATGACTGTTTTGATGTGAAGCAAATGAGTAACTTTCTTCCAAAAATGACTGAAACAAAATTATATTATTTCTGATCTATAGATTATGGGTACCAAGTTTTCTATACTATATGATTATTAGTTATGTGATAATAATAAAACAAAATATTCATTAGAAAAATCTAGTTGTCAGTATACTTTTTAATATTTATACATAACTATTTGAAGTACACAGAATGTTGTTGGCATAGATTGGTAGCTTAAGTAGTGTTGATACTTTCTGATGACCATTGTTTCCATATATGTCTACTTTTGTTGTTGTTAGAGACCTTAAAACTTTGTTTTACAGGACTGGGGAGATAGCTCAGCAGTCTAATTGCCTGCCTGGCAAATGCAAGGATCTGGTTTTGATCCCAGGTACCACACGCCATGCCAGCCCCCGGCCATTGAAACTGGGAGTTGTGGCACACACCTGTGATCCTGTAGCTGGGGAGGCTGAGACAGAGAATTGCTCCAAGTCTGAGCTGTGTAGTGTAAGATCCTGTGCCAAATAAATAAATAAAAGATTTTTTTTTTTAAAAAAAAACTTCATTTTATAGTATTTGTTGAGGAACTAAAGTAGGCGACAGCTATGTCGTGGTTTTGCTGTTGGCTAACTAGATGTCCTTTCCAGCCAAATCTGGCACTCTCAGAGAAGAGTGAACAGTAGTTGATCCCATTTGTTTTAAAAAGTGTTCAAATTTGATATGTTGTATGTGATATAATGAAATTAGATTTATAATTAAGGGAAAAATATTCTGAACAATGAAATAAATGCTGACTTCCAAGAGTAATCTTCTTCATATTTGTATGAAGCATGCCTATTTTTTTCTCTTTGTTTTCTTTTTCTGTTTTTTTTAGACTAGGCTGACCTAGCACAATCTTCCTGCCTTAACCTATCAAATTCTAGGATTATAGGTGTGTGCCATTATGCCTAAATGAGTCTTCCCATTTTCATAAAGGGTCAGTGAGACTGGGCATGATGGTACATGCCTGTATCCCAGTACTGGGCATGGTGGTACATGCCTGTAATCTCTGGAGGCTGAGGCAGGAGGATTGTCATGAATTTGAGGCTAGCTTGGTCCACATAGTGAGTTCAAGGCCAGCCTGAATTACAAAGGGAGACCCTATCTAAAAAATAGAGGGTAAGTGCATAATGATCAGGCAGGTTTCAGCGTCAGATTCAATAATCCTGAATCCCAGCACTCTGGAAGCTGGGTCAGGAGGATTTTTGTGAGTTTGAGACCAACTTGGGCCAGAAAGTGAGCTCAAGGCCAGCATGAACTGCATAGTAAGACCCTGCCTCAAAAAGCAAAAAAAAAAAAAAGAAAAGAAAAGAAAAGAAAAGGAAAGAAAGAAAGGAAAGAAAAAAAAGAGAAATTTTTCCTTAGAGAATGTAGTTCCCATACTTAGGAGGCTGAGGCAGGAGGATCACCACAGGTTGAGACCAGCCTGGGCTACATAGGAGTAAGACCCTGCCTCAAAAAGCAAAAAAAAAAAAAAAAAAAAAAGTTCAATGGTCAGAAATGACTTATATAAATTAGATCATATTTCTGAGTTTCCAAAAGGAAGTATTCACAGTTAATTTATTGTCTTAACCATACACATGGGCCAGGGTGATGGCTCAGTGGAATAAGCGCTTCCCTGGCAAACGCAAGGGCCTGAGTTCAATCCCCGGTTCTGCAAAAAATAAATAAATAAATTAACTATACACATTGTTTAAAAAAACACAAGTGTTTCAGCTGTATGTTAAATTTAACTTACTTGAACAAATCTGTTATAAGCAAAATCTCTCCTTTGGGGTAAATTGTTGTTAGAACAAGAGAAGCTCAGCCTTTTAAGAGGTAGTTATTGATTACTTTGGGAATAATTTCATAATGAGGGCATTTTCTTCAGTTAGTAAGGAAAAAGAAAATATATGTGAGAAAAGTACAAATTTAATGATTAACAATTATGATTAGCTGTCTTGTTTTAAAGAGTTACACAATTTTAAAGGATTACTGCTGCTGTAGTTGTCAATTAGAAGTTTTAAGTTGGTAGTTATTGTACTTTTTATCCCCAGTCAGGGTGGATGTTAACTTTCAAAGTAGTAGTCTCCTGCACATTCCTGACCAATCCTAATCCCACTCTTCACTCCCGTGAATGTGTGTGTGTGTGTGTGTGTGTGTGTGTGTGTGTGTTTTAATAAAGACATGTGTCTCTTGCTGCCTCTCTACAAGAGACCAGTGCATTGTGTAATGTAATCTGTGCTAGGGAATCCAGAGGTGTAAAGGATACAAAGCTAAAACATGAGTGGTTGATTTTCTGAGGAGGATTTGTGTTAGAAGGCAGCACATCAGTGAGCCTTGAAGATGCTTAGCATTCAGTTCAGCGGAAGAGCCTGCAAAGAGTACTCTGCAGGAAAGAACACTGTGTAAGAGCCCAGAGCTGCCACAAAGCCACTGTTGTTCTGCTGCGGGTGGCGAGGGTAGAGAAAGCAAGCTAGGATCTATGAGCATTTAACTGCTTCCTAATCCAAATTCCTAGCAGTTACTTCTGGAACTCTAGACAATAACTTTATATACTTGATTTTTCAACTTAGATAAAGTGGGCTCTTGGATATAAAAACTATTTTTCCTTATTCATACTGCACTGCTTTTTTCTTGCTCCTCTCAAAATTTGTACTGTTTTTAATAAAACTTTTTCCTGTTATTTATGTTTGTGACTAAATAATACGTGTGGTGTTTGTGATTTGTGTGTTCCCCTAGAAGATAGATATTTAACATTGAATGTTAAATAAGATGTTACATTTTGGAGCAGGAAAAGAAAAAAATTGGAAATGATGCATCTAGGTCCTGTGAGTAAGAATGCTAACCTCTTTTTCCTTTAGGTTGAACAAGTGAAATTGCTTGACCGGTTTAGCACGGGCAACAAGGCGTTAACAGGAACACTATATCTCACGGCCACACATCTATTATTTATAGACTCTCTTCAAAGAGAAACCTGGGTAAGGACTGCAGCAGGACTACTTGCTGGAGCACTGGCAGTGTTTTGTTGTTTTAATTTGAATGTTGTCTTAGTCCCTTTCCTTATTACTAGAACAAAATACAATAGTCCCTTGCTGTTTCGTACTTCAACTTTGGCAGACTTTTACAAGTTTTCAAAAAATATTAATGTAAATTTTTTATTACGGATCTTTCGCTGCATTTCAGGATTTTGCAGTACCGTACAATATCTGTATGTTGTTAAAATTACCTAGGTGTACGAGTTTAGAAAATATTTAAGAACATTAGAAGTGTTTTTTAAAAGTGCAGGAAAGATTTATAAGGGTGTTGGAAGGATTTATAAAGCCTTAATATATACTGAAATAAATATAACATCACTACTTTGCTGATTTTCACTTACCATGAGGGTGTCTGGAATGTAACCTTTGTGCTAAGTGAGGGACCACTGTACCCAATACCCACAACTTAAAGAAGGAAGGATTTATTTTCACTCAGTTTACAGTTCACAGTTGGCTGTCCAAAGATGGGTGTCACTGCAGAAGCGTAGTGGAAGAGAAGCTGCTCATGTCATGGTGGTAGGGAAGTTGAGAGCAAGTAAAGGGGAGCCTGAAGTGAGAAACACTTGTAGGCCGCAGCCCCAGTGGCTCACTTCCTCTACTTTCTAACAGCAGGTCAGCTCTAAGCTCATCTGTAGAATGATTCATGGTGACCATCATGTGCCACTGATCTGGTCACCTCCCCAAGGCCCCCCTATGAGCACATGCAGGGTGGGAGGGGACTGTAGATAGAAAACATGCAAATATGTTTAACAAAACTTTTGGCATTAGTTACTTACCTGAGAATTCTTTCAGTCTCATAGTGATCCTCCTGTTTTCAGCTGCCCCAGAGCTGGGATAACAGGTGTGTACCAGCACAGCCTGAATTCAGCTGGCTCAACCTGTCCAGGGGCAGGGCCAGCATGGCATATGGTACCTGGGATTGAACCCTGGTCCCTGCACTTGCCTAAGCATGCACTTAGACATCTCACAGGCCCGCTCCTCCCTTTTCTAAATCAGTAATATCACATACAATACTTGAGTTCATAAATGCTTCTTTTCACAAATAATTCGGTTGCACCCAGAATTGTAGACAGACGTAGGTTTGTGAACAGAGGCACCAGTGTGTAAACATTGCAGTGTACATCCACATATCTAAACATCTGGTATATATGTATATATAACACATGTATGTGTGTATGTATACGTATATTTTGGGGGGTATACATTCATATAAATGCAAGTATACTCTCAAGTATACCTTTGACCCTTGATCAGATAATGTGTTTTGGTTTGTTTTATTTGTTTTTTTGTTTTGTTTTGTTTTTCTTCAGATAATGGGTTTGAAGTTTGCAGGTCCACTTACATTCTTCTTTTCTTGGAAATTTACAACAATTTGAAAAACTTACAAATGAGCCATGTAGCATAGAAATATTGGATAAAGTAAGAAAACCATAGATACATGTTCATGAATATATGTAGATAGTAGTCATAAAGTATAAACAAATCTACAAAAAATTAAAATTTATTAAAATTTAGCACACAAATACAGGTTTTACACGTTAACTTTTGCAGTGTTTTACTTCCATAATATTTGTGTAGTGTATACTGTGCTACAGTAATAATTTCATAGCATGGTGCCAGGAAGATAGCTCAGTAGAATAAGCACTTCCCTGGCAAGCACAAGGGCCTGAGTTCAATCCCCCGTTCCACCAAAAAAAAAAAAGAATAATTTCGTAGCTGCCTCCTAATGCTGTTGTGATGAGTTCAAGTTTTGCAGCTATCTACTTGATGTGTGATGCCGTCTGCTAAGATCTACAATTTCATGCCAACTTGCTGATTTCAAAGAAGTTATCCTTTTAAATATTTTGGTCATTAGATTTTTCTAATATAATTTGTCTTTACTAGTTTTATAAAAGTTCTGGATTTAATGCTTTAGAACCAGCTTTGTCATACACAAATCTTTCATGTATGTGAGGTTCTGTTTTTGAGCTCTGTGTTCTCTCCTTTTGGTGTCTTCTAGTGGGGAAATGAGTAAGATGTATAATGAGTACTCGGGAGAAATAGGAGAGGGGGACAGAACGTGCAAGTTAAGGAAGGTGGTGATTTCTTTAGTGCCACACAGGTAGAACAAAATACTAAATAAGAGGAGCTTATGTGGTGCCGCCAGCTAGCTTGGGTTCCAGTGCCAGTTCTGCTCCCTTTTGCTCTCAGTGAGTGTTTGACTGATAATGGTAATAAACCTCCCAAAACAGAGTGGGCTCTCCTTAGAACCCTCATCTCCTTTTATCAGGGAGAAGTTCTCTAGGTTGTCTGCTGTTGACTTTCTTGAACATCTGATTGATTGGAAACTTTAAGGGAGGCAGAGAACACAGATTTTTGGCATGTTGGATTTCTTGGGAGAGATGAGTATTGCCATTAAGGAAGATGAAGAGGATAACAGAACTCAGTATCTGTGCTGTGTTAACTTTGAGCTTAGTATTGCCATGGGGTAGGGTTAGCATTAGTCTTCATGTAGGACTCTTGTGATTCTTAGATGAGAGCAAATAGGAACAGCATCTAGGTGTAAAGCACAGTAGTGGCTCAGTAAGTCACAGCTGTGCGGCCTTTTTTTAAGCAATAGCATCAAGGCTAGAGCAACCACGTTGCGCCGGGTCACTGCTCTTGGTACATACTTCCTTCGTCTGTGAATTCTTTGAGTTCCAGGAGGCCATTTGGTTGATTTGTGATAGTAGCAAGGACGTAGGTGCTCAACCTAGAGACTGACCTTGGGTAAGTTGTATTTCTTTGAAGCACTGGGTCCCCTCCTACCTGGGCCTGGAGTTTTGCTGAATGGTACCTTGTGAAACCATTACTCAAATCTTCATTCACTCTTTAGACCTTTCTCTACCTACCTGCCTCAGTATCTTCTCTGGGTGTTTTCATCTCTTAGAGACAGTGTGAAGTATAGATTCATCGTTCCTTTGGCTAGTAGGGCTAGATCATTGCTTCAGATTCCTTAGAAATTGAAAGCATAGTTGGAGAGAGCAGCCAAAGCTATCTATATTATTATTTTCTCCTACTGCTGTGTTTACAGTGCTTTCTTACTAGTACATTCCTTTACTCCTGAATTAAGTCTGCTTAGTGTTTTAGATTCATAGACATAGCATTTTAATTTTAGAAGGTGCTTTATATACTTTTGTCCCATTGTCTCATTTTACACATTTTTTTCAGAACCACATAGACTAGGTAAAGATAGACCCAGATCCCTTTACCATTCTTTTGCAAATACTTTTGGATTTTATTTGGGATCATAACAGTCTGGAAGACTACAATTAGTTTTTTGAACTTTATTCTCTATTTTTGATCATTTTGAGTAAGTTAACTCAGGCTCACTAAAATAAAGAGTAGCAGTGCTGAATTTTAGCCATGCAAAGGGACTACATATGTGTATATGTTAATAATAATCTATGATATGTATAGTTTTTTTATAGAAATGTTTTCTCATGCATTTTTATTATATACAGTTAATCTTGCACGTGAACTTTAGATATGTCATGTGTAATAATATTAATAATACAGTGTATGTATATTATATAATCTTTACTGTGCTATGAAAAGTAGGAATGATATTGCAAATAGTAGATGTTGTAAAAGAACAAAGTAGCAGGTGGCAGTGACAATCAGATCTCAGTATTGAGTTTGTAGAAGGAATTTTTATTCATTTCCTCAGGAAATATTTATTCTGTGGACAGAGGTATGAGGGAAGTTGCCTATATTTCTGGCTAGAGGCATGCATTCATTTTATAAATTGTGGCTTTGAAAGCTTAGATATAATATTTGAGATGTTGTTAGAGGGAGGCATTCCTAATATGCATTCTGAAAGAGAATAAATATTTAGTGCTTTCTGCATTGATGATTTGAATTTTTTTCGTGCCGCAGATATTGCACCACCACATTGCCTCAGTAGAAAAACTTCCTTTGACTACTTCTGGATGTCCACTCTTGATTCAGTGCAAGAACTTTAGGACTGTGCATTTCATTGTTCCCAGAGAAAGAGATTGTCATGATATTTATAACTCTCTGCTACAGCTGTCAAAACAAGGTATTGTTCTTAGAGACCAAAGTTTACATGCTCAATTTGAGATGAATTGCCCAAAGTACTTAATATCCCATTACTGTTATTTTGTACTTTAAGTTGTATAGTCAGGCTCTTGTGCTTTCAGCTGTCCCCTTCCCAACTCCATCTCCATGACTTACAAATAATTAGAGACAATTGATCTGGGTTGAGTGCTGTCCAAAGCAAAACACTTACAGTGTAGACCAAGGCAACTTTATAGTATAAAAATTTCTTGATAGCAAATAGTACTTCGTACTCCATGAACAATGGAACTGACTTGGAAAATGATATTAATAAATAGAAAGATAAGGAAGGTCATGTTCCTCTGGTAGAAGTGGGGCTAAAATATTAATAGATTAGGTTGGGACAAAAGGCAGATAAACCAAGGGACAGAGAGTTTGTCCTATTTTAGTAGAGGTGTGGATAGGCCCTAAAGAGACATTTTCTCCCTGCCTGTACCTTGGAAGTCTGGAGGCCCTTTATCCCCAACATGACTTGGGTTACATGTTGAACTGGGCTTCAGCTGAGCAACCTGGGTGGCAGTCTGCGTGCCTGGTCTCAGGAGCAGATTTGTGTCCACTTGAACCTGCAGCACTCTCTTCTCCTATGTTAAGCGAGAGCATACAGTAAAGATGCTTCCCCACTTACTCTTCAGAAGTAAGTGTGCTTCTGAGGTCAGTTGCTATTTTCAGTCTACACTCCTGTAGGGCTATGTAATGCAGTTTTGTGTACTCTGTGGTATCTCTAGTTTATCATTAGGCATTGTTCTTTCCATTTTACATGTCATTTGGGAAAAGTTGTGAGTAGGAAATAGCTACTTGTGTTTTTATCATTTGACTTTTAAGAAAATATTGCAATAGAACATTTAAAATATAAGTCTAACTATATTCCTTACTAGTTAATTTTTCCTGACAAATTGCATCTCAGATTCATACATGTGCTTTCAGATAGAAACATTTATATCACAGAATTTAGAAGATACTCACTTCAAATATAGTATGAACATTTACTAGCTATCTGTGGAAATTTCAGAGACAAATTGAGAAATTTTATTTATAGTGTATTAAGTCTTATAGATCACATTTTTAATGTTTTATGTGTTGTATTTTATAGCAAAATATGAAGATCTCTATGCATTCTCCTATAATCCCAAACAAAATGATTCTGAACGATTACAAGGCTGGCAACTCATTGACCTTGCTGTAGAATATAAGAGGATGGGAGTGCCAAATTCACACTGGCAGTTGTCTGATGCCAACAGAGAATACAAGGTAATTTAGCAACCTTATTTAGAAAATTTAGAAAATGTTAGTATAAGAGGAGCAGAGAGTGTCATAGCAGCAAGTTTTCTATATATTGTAATGTACTGTTCTTGCACTTGATAATTTGAAAAGTTTTTGAAGGTGAATTTTAACATTATGGTTTTTGAACTGTAATAGATGAATCATATTTTGATATTTACAGATTTGTGAAACTTATCCCAGAGAACTGTATGTTCCCCAGTCAGCAAGCACACCAGTAATTGTTGGCAGTTCCAAATTTCGGAGCAAGGGAAGATTCCCAGTTCTTTCTTATTATCATCAAGAAAAAAAGGTAGGAACCTTCTCTTTTAATTTTTTTGTTAATATATCCTCTTTTAGTTTAAGAATCCAGAAGAATACTTTTACTTTACATTGTCATTATTTTTTTTT